GCGCTTTTAGTTGATAAAGTGGTGGGGTGGGGGTGAGGTATACATCTTATTGTGGTTATTTCGTATTGGGATATGGAGCCGCCACAAGCGAGTTGGTTAGTGATTTGGGCTTTAGTAGGTGACAATTAGTATTGGTGAAAAGGAAGAAAGATGTAGGAGAAAGGGGTATGCGTAAGTAGGGGTATTCGAGTGAAAGTATCATTAGTTGTTCATTGCTTTGATACGACAACCAGAGTTTCCTTGTGTAGTAATGTTTCTTCACCTGAGAGAAATCAAGTTTGCGGTAGAGGAGAGAAGTTACTAGGAAGAGATTTTTTAGTAAGATTTGATTTATCTTCAAAATGGCTTGCGAACACTCTGAGTTGTTAAATGCTATTTTGAAAAGCACTGTTTTATATACCTTGTCTGCTAGTTAGGACTCGTCTGTCATCTCTGAGTTTGCAGTAGTGGGTCTAATCCTTTTGCTGTTCACATGTTACTCATTCTCTGAGCATGTAGTGAAAGTCTAGATTGTATTGATGCTTTAGAACATGCTAGAGTTTTCTTGTTGTTTGTTGGATTTCTTTTGCGTGGGGAGTAATTTACCGGGGGGTAGATCGCTCTTCTCCATTGAGCCGTGTATAAGGTAGGGGTTTTGCCCAGGTCTTGAGTAGTCCTTCACTCTGGAGCTAGAGGGCTCACAGCGGATTTTGTCAGGAATCCGTGAGTTGGAGTGACAGCAGATATCCCCCGATCGCTTTTGTTGAAGACTGCTATGTTTCGTTAAATTGCACAAGGGATCCAAGACGTATCCAGTGAGCTCGGAGGCGCTGCTAAGGCTCATGAGAGTTTCTCCCTGATCAGTTTGAGACTGGGTGTAGAATGCTGCAGTAGCAGGCTGCAGACATTTGCGGTGATTTGCGTCCAGTAAAGAAGTAAAACTGCGAGCACTTATTGCATCATCAGCTAATTAAGTTTGATAATCATGTCATTATCCGATTGACCATCTGTTTTGCACTGGGTCAGCCAGATAATTACAAAGGAAATGTGAAAATATCAACCATGCCATGTTTAAATATGCCTGGGTGATCATAATCTCTGCAATTTTTTAAGGATTTGCATAGCTAGTCTATGTGTCACTAACGTTGTACAGCGATGAGGGGGATGGTTCCGATGAGTCGCGCGTTGAGTGTAATACCATTTAAGAATATTGTAGGAATACCAGAAAGGAAGAAACCTTTTGAGATAAACACCATCTTAGTAAGTAAATGTAGCTGAAGCAAACCTGTTTGAGGTACTTCATAAAATGTTAAGGGTATTTCGTTCAGGTGAAAGAACATGAACAAACAGAAAACTTGGATGTAGTATATGAGAGCAAGTGAAGCACACTAATAGAGTAAAGTGATAAAGGTAATATAAAAGAGACTTTAATTTAGTCAAAAATGATAATGTGCACTTAAGGCGACAAATACTAATAAGATTGGGAGCTCGTAGCGCCGATAGGGTAGAAAGTAAAATGAGTTTTAAATACGATTATAAGAGGGAGAAGGGTTGTCGATGGGGTATACAAGGGCGTAAGGTCTCATTATACAAGAGGGAGGGAGTAAGGTATTAATAGAGAATGATGTGAGGGGGTTAGTATTATTATATTATATGTGAAGGATAAGATTTTGTTAGATAAGAGATGGAATTAGCATGCAGGATTATAGAGTGACCGCTTACGAAGCCAGACTGAATAATAAATGAAACAAAAATGTGGATCTAGGATGCAAATAGGGAGAGGAGAAGTGAGGGGGTAGAGATAGAAAACCAACTAGCTCTAGCAGAACAAAAGGAAAGGGAGAAAAGATAAATGAATACATATAATAAAAAAGGCAAGGGGAATAGAGTTAATGCCAAATAATATTGGTGGGATCATAGCGTTATTGTAAAAACTAGAATAGTTTAATTAAATTGAAAGAGAGAGATGCTGCATTTGCACCTCCTGTATGGGAAAGGGACATGGTACATATTTTGTGGTCTCCTCAATAGCATGATACTTGTCATATCTGAGATCCTCTTATTAAGCCTTTTACTGGATTACTTAAATTAGCCACTTTGCTGTGTGATTGAAAACAAATAAACAAAGAGATCTGCAGGAATCTTAAAGACTTGTTGCCATTTGTTCGGCGGTACAATGTAGCATACTCTTGAATGGAGGTATCTTCAGAAAGCAGAGGATTGTTGAAGCGCTGGCAGCTCGGAGAGTAATTAAGGAAGATCTGGAGTTAGAGTAATACCAGGACCTGTAGGCTTTGTAATGAATTAGTATCCACTTAAAAAGGTACTCCTAAGTTGCTGTCTTGTGCAGCGCGATAACAAAGAGACGGACTGACTTGCCATGCTGCTGAAACATTTGATGAAACTGGATAAAATATATAGTGCAACTGTTTCAGCTGGTGTAAAGGCAGGAAAATCCTTGCTTCTTAAAAGAAAAAGAGCAGAGCCAGTCACACAAACATTCCGAATCTCGTACCTAGGAGACACTTTGCCAACTGTGCTGAGAAGTGGAGCGGTAGAGAGGGGAGCAGGGGGTTTCTGTGCAGCAGGGGGGGGGGAGGAGATAGAAGCTGGGTGGATACTGCAGTAGCGAGTCTGCAAGTCAGACAGAAGTGAAGTGTGGAGGTGGAGAGGAGGGACGTGAAGAACTGAATGGAATGATACACAGAGAGATAGTCAAGGTTAGAATGTCTTGAAAGTTTGGAGTAGTTTCTAAGGAGCTTGCAAGCGTAGCTTTTTGTAGAAAGGAACTGGGTTGATCGGCAGAAGCTGAACGGTTGAAACTAAGTAGAGCACTTTGAGAGGTACTGTAGGTTTACCCCAGCGATTAAGAAGACTTAAGGAGTCTTAGCATTTATTTGATACCCCAGAGAGAGCAAGCAAGAAGTAGGAGTGAGTATTACACCCTAGTCAGAAGTTGATAAACTATTGCCATAGATCAAATTCAGCTGGCACCTGTTTTTTGCATAAAAATATTTTTTTTTTTGTGTAACAGAGATTTCTCAGTTCAGGTTTACAGTAGTATAGTGAGGTTTCAGCTACAAAAGCGAGTTGAAGAGCCGACAATAGAGATTAGGTATGCCATAAAGCCTAAATATTTACCATAAGGTTGAACCCGCTGCCTTAGGATAGAGAGGGGTAGTGCCATAGAGACTAGGGGAAATGAGGAACAGGAACTTATATAACAAAGAATAAAACAAGCGGTAGCAGATCAAGGAGATCCAAGGAGTAAGTATTGAAGCGGCCTGCAGAAAAAAAAATCAAGATTGGTTGGGGTGGGGGGGAGTTATTGTGAGGGGCCAATGTGGTAGTGAGGGTGTTATCTAGATGTGGGGAGTCGTGCTGCTTTTTTTTTTTTTTGTAGAGACAGGCTCTCCCTGTTGTTCAGGCTGTTCTCAGTGAATGGTGCCACCAACCAGTTCTGCCTCTGCTTATTTCTGAACACTTTATGACAAGAGATTACATAATTTCATTGTTCAAGTCACTTTCACTGAGATATTATTTTATTGCAGCTGATACATTGATTTACACCTTTACCTTCCTGGAAAGATATTTTTTACTTAATTCTTGTTTACAACTTTGAAGCTACATGGTACTCCTCAGACCACTCCTGTACCACATGAGTTTCTTTGTCTGTCTTTAGCACTTAGTATTATCACACTCACCTTACAGCGCATTTCCCCCAGGGACTCAGTGCTTCCAACTGATGATTTCAGCAAGGTTATTTAAATTTTCTCCAAGAGAAGTAGAGTTTTGAAAATAAGATTCCTGGTGTTTTCCATATGTGCTGATTAAATGAGCAGCAGACCAAGGTGAGTTTATTAAAAAACAGCAAGAATTGTAGCATGGAAGAAAAAGGCCAACAGTAGGGAGCACCACAAAATTAAAATTACAACTTAACCAAGCTGTGCTGTCAAAACCTAGTGATTTCTGTCTCTTAACTCCAGTGTGTAAAAGTGAGGAAGCTAAAATTAAAAAAAAGAAAACATTATTTCTGGGTCTGGAGACCAAAAGAGACAAAGTAATTCCTGGCTACAAAAAATTAGTTCAGTTCAGCAGGGGCTGTACGCAAGCTTCTTGGGGTGGTGAGAGAGGCCGAGACCACATAGCTGATTAAGAAGATCCATCATTCCTGTATTCATTGAGCTCGCTGTTCTAGCAGGGAACATGAGTGCACAATCAGTCAAATTCAAGGCAGAGACGCAGCCAACTCTTAAACAGTACCAGCCCTGTTTCAGACCTGTGTTCTGACATTAAGAACTTTGAGATCTTATCAAAGATAATTCATTTCAGGACTTCAGTTGCATTCCAAAGGAATATCCGAGGAAATAAGAGGACTTAATAAATGTAATAACAGGAGTAAACTACTTAGCATATTTCCTAGTCCATAATAAATATGCAATAAATGCGATATATTTAAAATTAAAAAATCATAAAATACATGCATATTTCTCTAGAGCTATAAGTAAAGAAGGAGGATGGCTTTTCGAGTATCATAAATGACTGAATAATTCACAATTAGGTGCTTAAAACAGTGACAAAACAATCTATGATTAGATTATACTGCTTAGTTAATGAAAGAAACAATGGATACGTAGGAAAAATAAAATGATAGATTTTTAACTGAAAATATTAGCAAAGATTCTGTGTAATTAAAATAGAAGGCTTATGGTCTTTTTTATCTTCATTGTGAAGTTTCTAATTTTTCTTCTTATGGCAAAATCTTTTTAGACACTACTTTTACAACACTAATTGTTTTATCCAGAGACACTTTTGGTTGTCATACTGGCCAGTTTGTCTAGTGCAGGGGTCCTCAAACTTTTTAAACAGGGGGCCATTTCACTGTCCCTCAGACCATTGGAGGGCTGTTGGAGAGTGCTGGGCACATACCACACATGCGCACTGTGGGCCCGGGACCAGTCGGCTGCTAAGCAGAACAGGCAGCAGCGGCAAAAACACTCAGCGGGCTGGGTAAATGTCCTCAGTGGGCTGCATGTGGCCCCCAGGCCGTAGTTTGAGGACCCCTGGTAGAGGGCAGGAATGCTACTAAATATCCTACCTTATATAGGAAAGCCTCCCTACTAACCCCAACACAGAATTGCCTGGCCACAAATACCAATAGTGCCAAGTTTAAGAAACCTATTTTAAAGTAATCCAGTTTATTTTGAAAAATAAGTGTTAAAAGGTACAGAGTGTGTCTATGTGTGTTAGTGTGTGTACATGTACATGTACATATTCATAGGTGAGAATACAGGCATGCAATGAATGTATAAATATTCAAGAGGCAAGCAAAGGAAAATAGGAGGAAAAAAATGAGTTTTGACAATTACCAAATGTAGTCTAGACTACAAGCCTGTTATTTGCATTAGAAAATTTACTGTGTTTAAATGACAGATCAAAAATTAAAATCCAGGGTTGTTGCTACTAAATTAAAGCGTATTCTCTGGGATTATCTCTTAAATATCAGTATCAGGGTTAGCTATTTTTATTTCACTGGAATCACAATAGACATATTCAACTTTTTAAAGATATTTTCTGAAATATTGGTAATATTTCTTATTTTACATTGTAGTATGTCAAAAGTAGTTCTTTCAATTTCTATTTTTATAGACTTTGGCAGTCCTGATAAGATTGAAATGAATTTGTGAATATTCTATAATCCAGCCACTGTTGGATTCATAATGTAAATAACAAAACCATGTCATTTTAAACATAACACAACTTTTTCTCTGTCCTACTGATAATATAACAAAATATTGTATGCTATCTGTACATCTTACTTATAGACTGTGTTTGAAATTATGTTCATTTTGAAAAAGACTAAGTATTTTCTTTAACTGTGCAAGTTCTGACTCAGAAACAAAATTAATCATCATAGGTAATATAAATTTGACCTTCTTTTAAAACATGTATTTGTGAGTTATGTTGTTTCAAACACTACAAAAAGGTAAGAGAGTGCCTATACTGCACAATGAGATGCAGCCTTATTATTGATAATTCAAGCTGCTTGCATTGCAGGGAAAGAACAACGCCTACCCCCAAACACCTCGATATTCTCCTCTAAAAGTAGACAAAGAATTATGGGTCCAGAGCTGATAATTCCAGAGCCCAGAGCCTCTTTGTGAGTCTATGTTTTTCACTGGCTTCCAGGGCTGTGGTCAGCTGTGTTTGTGGGAAGTTGAACATAATCATCAAATGCAGGTCTTCCTTTCCTGTCTGTCAGCAAAGATGACAAACTAATGCAAAGCCAAAAGAAGCAGAGTCATGAGGACATTCTTGAATGCCCACAAACTTAGCGATCCATTGAACTCTGATAATAAGGTCTGCATCACTGGACGTATTCAACATAGAATAATACAAATGTCTTAGAAAATGCAGCATGGCTTTTTTGGTTGCAAGTAAAATGCAACTCTAACTGACTTAGGCAGAACCTCAGAAAGGACAAGTTCTGATGAGACTTGGAGAAACTGGAATCATAGATTCAGAGAACAGCAAGGTGTTTTTCTCTCCATCTTTAGTGTCTTCTTCTCTATGTGCTGTCTTGAGCATGTTAGATAGTCTTCCTGGACACCTGCCTGATTGCAGGCAGAAGGCAGATCCTATGCAAAAAGTATCCTCACTTCATCTCTAATTAGAATTTTCAGCTTACAAAAAAACCACAACTAAGAGCACAATTGATTCATTATATTTTCTTTTCCAACTAAGTGGCCAGGCAATGTATTAATATTACTTCAAGGCTTCCAACAGGAGAACAAGGATGGATAGAGTGGGAGTTGTTTCCTAAAAGAATGTTTTCCCATAACAAAGGAAGTGCTGCTTGCAGATAAAAGTAGAATCTATAACACAAAGTTTCAGGAATCATCAATATACAAAATGAAAACAGGATCAAAACTGCTATCCAAATTGTAACAGTGATGGGAAGAAACAAGTGATTATATAAACTACTAGAAATAAGAACAGAATTATATTTGTTAGTCTCAGACACACATATTGTCTTTAAAAATTGACTTGGGGGTTGAAGGAAATAGAGGTAATTGGAAAGTCAAATTTTAACACTTTGGGCTTTAGGCTATTATGCATGTTGTGTTTTGAAGTATTGACTGTAATGAGTAGCTAGTTTTTTGGAAACATTAGGTTATCTAGGTTTAGGTAATGATTGCAGGAATGACTGCAAAAAGCAAATGTAATTTAGACAGTATAATGGGCTCTATTCCATTTCATTGCCAAAGTGAATTTCATTAGATTTACATTTGGTTACCTTCAGTTTTAGCTTTAATTTTTATTACATGAACTATTCCCATGATTGGGGTTTTCTAAGAAGAGTAGACTTGTACATTTAAAAGTATAGTTTTTCAAGACCTTTTTTTGAAGTCCTCTCCCCTCTGGCAGATTTTCTATTTATCTGCCAAACAGCCCCCGGCGTGTTACGACTTTTTAGTGTTTGAAGGTTTATTTTGAAGACAGGTAAAGACAATTTTTTTAGTAGATTTTTTTAAGGATTTTCTTTAAACATTCTTTGCAAACCAATCTAAATTTATGCAACTTTGAACCACAAAGAGAATCATAGAAGTTCTATTTAACGACAGTAATTCTAAATAGATTATTTTGTTAAGACCTTTATGAAAATATGGTAAACTGCAGTTCCTTTTTCAAAATTCTGAAAATGCTCACTACTTCAGATATAATGTAGCTCTCTTCAAAGTTTCAAATGTGATTTATATGAAATTATTATTGAGAAGCAAATGTTACATGTCTTCAGTACAAATCAATTTTTATGACCAATAATTATATATTCATTGTATTTATTTTCAGAAATATAAATTTTTGTTATTTATAAGACTATATCTAATGTTGAATTGATTATAATTTTATATTAACCTCCCTAAATCTATGAAATATAGTTTTTACCTGTTTTTTTTCTTTTATGTTATAAAATTAATGAGATTTATAATTTAAAAAAACAAAACAGCTTGAACAAATAGCATGTTTTCTGGTAATCAATGTGAACTTTGCCTAGATATAGTTTGTAGTCTTTTCAAAAGGAAGTGCATTTTTTAGCATCAATGTACTATGGCTAAAGTTAAATCTCAGAGCTTTAAGGTTATTCAAGGGCTTACTTGAACAAATAAGAACAAATGAAGAAAACCATGAGGGCATTCTTTGCTTTATTAAGATTGTGAAGGAATGCACATTAGATATAACTGGGCATGTTTTCTATAGAGATACATTATTTTTTTTAGTGCCATTTAATGGACACATAGGAGCAATTTACTCAGAATCAAATAGGGCCTCTCTTCCATACAACTATCAAGATGATACACTATCTATCAAGTAGTAAGCAGTTTAGCTTGACCCATAGGGATTGTGGATGTGGTTTAATTGAAGGCTGGGTCTTCAGGAATAAAATATATGGCATACTAAAGTAATATTTTATCTATACAACAGTAAAAACTAAAGTCCTACTGAATAGAAAGTAGATTTAAATTATTCCCTTCTTGGAAACTTCAATCCAAAAGTCAGTAGCTTTCTCTCAGTTCTTAGATTTAAAGAAACTCTTAGACCCAGAACCCCATTGACAAAAGGCAGGTTTGATTTCCTAAACAGTAGTTTTCAAAGTATGTTTCAGTAGTTTCAAAAGTATTTCCCTTGTCCATCAACATCACTATCACCTGGAAATTTATTAGAAATGCAAATTCTAGGGTTATATTACACACTAAATACATCAAGAACTCAGGGTTTGGGACCAGTAGTCTTTTAAAAAGCCCTCCAGGTGATCCTGATCCATGTTACAGTTTGAGAATCAATATTCTTAAGGAATAAACCTAAACCCCATATGATTTACTAAACCTACTCTAAAGAGAACCATGCTCATCTAGACTATGTGCTAGGAAATGAATGTATTCACATTTGGGGGAGATTTTTAGAATTTGGTCTAAAAAGTTCCTTCTCTTTGGACAGCAAAGAGAATTAAAATATTAACAACCAATCAGAATAGGAGTTTACAGAGCTGAGATAATAAAGTCTGGGCCGAAGTTTACCTCCCAGAAGGCCTTGTAAGTCCACAAATCCTTCTTAAAGTTATTTCTTGAATTCCTGAAGGAAAAGTAAAGATGTCTATGCTTGTCAAATGGCATATTCAATACCTTGATTCCCTGACTCATGAAGTAAGGGCCCGTGGAAATCCCTGGGAATGCCTCAGCAATACTAAAATAGTAAACCAAAGCAATGCCACATTAATTAAGTGAGATCATGTGGTATTTGTCTTTATGCACCTTACTTATTTTATTTAATATTATGTCCTCTAGGTTCATCCATGTTGTTGCAAATAACACATTTTCCCTTTTTTATGACTGAATAGTATTCCATTGTGTATATGTACCACAATTTGTTCATCCATTCTTCTGATAATGGACACTTATCTTGACACTTATCCATATCTTAGCTATTGTGAAGAGTGCTGCAATTAATATGGAGTGCAGATATCTCTTGGGCATGCTTATTTCGTGTCTTTTGGATATATGACCACCAGTGGATTGCTGGATTATATAGTGGTTCTATTATTATTTTTTCTAAGGAAACTACATACTGATTTTCATAATGTCTGTGTGCAAGGGTTCCCTTTTTTTCCCCACATGCTCACCAATGCTTATTCTTTTGTGTCGTTTTGATGATAAACATTATAACAGGTATGGGGATTACCTTGTTGTTTAGATTTGCATTACCCTGATGATTAGTGATGTGGATTATTTTTCATATACCTGTTGTCCATTTATATGTCTTATTTCAAGAAATGTATATTAAGGGCTGTTTCCCATTTTTAATCAGGTTTTGTTATTGTTGTTGTTTG